GGGGGGGGGGGGGGGGGGGGGGGGGGGGGGGGGGGGGGGGGGGGGGGGGGGTCCGCGTCAGCCGCCACACTTTCGCCGTGGCGCTCTTCACAAGCCTCTCTCACACGCCACAACCACTAGGAGGGAGGCAGTCCGTTGCAGATTTGGAGTGAGGGAAGTCCATTGTTGTTGTGTGAAGTGACGTCGGACAAGGCCTGCGGCAACGTTCTCGTCCTTTTATGTATTACCTGTTCCTGAAGAGGCTCCCAGACGATCGGGTAGGCAGTGCCGCCGAGGGCCAACCGCCTGCGCCTTTCTCAACCGCTCGCCATTCTCCTTGGGTCATGCAGGGCCCCATATCGCTTTCTCAATGCGCTGAAGGTAGCAACTTAGCAAGCCAAAACAAAAGGCGATCCAAACCCCGTATGAAGTACCAAGAATCCTCGACGCCCCCAGTGGCGTTGGAGAGGGGTGTAGGAGATGGATAATCGGGTAGACGGCAACCATGATGTTGTTAGCACGTTCATCAGTTGGAAGAGTTTCCCACGGGGCCCACTGAACAACGACAACGGCCATTGAAACTGAGAACCCCACCGTTCACAAATCGTCTCCGCGACCAGCAGACCAAACTCTTCTCTGTCCCCTTGGCTTCATCTTTGCTCCATCAAGCGCAGCATTGCGCACCACACCATGTACCATACCAGCGACAACTCTACCGCCCTTGAGGCCGCTACGGAGGAGCTTCTTAACGATCTGGCTCAAGTCGTCACGCTCGCCAAAGACGCCCAGCGAGAGAGCGCCGCGGCCCGCGACGAGCTCGTCAACCTCTCGAGTCTCGCCTCCAAGCGCATGCAAGTGGCCGAGAAGCCAAGGCGATGGAGAAGATGCAGAAGATGGCCACCGAGGCCCAGAATCTCGTCGTGGTCGCCAAAAGGCTGGCGGAGAGAGCGGTGGAGGAAATTCATCTTTTGGCCGGGGCCAAAAAGATTTTGACGCATAAGACGAAGCTTGATTTACAGGCGGTGACGCTGGCTCGCCGCGCCGCGCAGGAGGAGCGCGAGGCAATGGAGGTACAGATTGGGAGGGATCTCGAGCAGGTGCGAGCTGAACGGAAGACGGTTGACGAGCTGCGTGAGACGATGGATGTTGTGAAGCAGATTCAGGATACTAAGGTGTGTCTTTTATACCGTTGGATAGACCTTGTTGCGCTCCTTTTTTCGCTGGGTTATCCGCATACATTGACCTTATGGAAAGACGTTCTTTCTGCCGCTCCAGGTCAAGCTCAACGTCGGTGGTGAATACTTCGAACGAGCGTGGATACGCTCCGTTCCGCCGATGACTCCTGCTTTTCTGCACTTCTCGGGGGAGAATGGGCGGAGCAATCGATTTTTGTCGACCGGGACGGGGCCATTTTCTGCTACATCATCAACCACCTCCGTCAAAGTCTGCGCTCCCGAGCGACCGCGACACGCTTCAGCGAATCACCAACGAGGCCGAGTTCTTCGCCCTCCCGGCGCTTGTTACTCGCGTCCAAGCCGCTATCGGCGAGCACTGAGTGTTTTTTTGGGCCGAAGCGGGATCTACAATTTTCCTCCGAGCTTATGCACCGTTTTCCATCTGACATTCGATAATCGGGGCCGTACCGCCCCTGTTTTCTCGCCAAAAGCTTACTTTCGACGGTGAAGAATCTATGCAACAGGGAGCGATACTGATTTTGTAGCGCATTTGAAGAATCTGAGAGTCGTGCATTTGAAGAATTCAAGAGCGGCCCGACAGTGATGACGGAAAAATCTACACGCCAAAATAAGAAAATCGTTTAGGCGAATATTTTTTGAGGTTGGACTATTGCAACTATTCATGCAAAGCGAACTGTTGTCTCGAGGGTCCGATTCGGCCGTATTCGTTAGCGCTGCAGGCTGCTGGGGACAGATAGCTTTGAGCAAACATAATGCCAAAAAAGATAGAGAGCTGCCTGAATGGGGCTTTATACGTTTCGAGTTGGAGTGAGGCGGTCCAAGAGAAGGGAAGATCCTTGACATGTTTGAGGGGGAAGGGGGGGGAGACGCGTCAGCCAGGCTGTGGCGCACTGCAAATTGAGACGCCACAATCAGATCATCTGCACGACTGCGCCTCTTTCGAAATGCCGCACTCCCGAGTTCCTCGTTTCCATCGGAACCTGCGACCCTTCAGCCACCTTGCTCAACCCGCATCGACAGGTGATGAACGAGCCCAAGTGATAACCAACCACTTCCGGAGCAACTGCCATTTGCGTGAGTTCTCACCTCATTTCCCGCAGAAACTGCCCCTGTTCTTCACACTTGGCTATAGGGCTACTTGTGCACCGACAGTGCACCAAACGCGGACAGAGCCTTCCCGATACGGCACTTCTGAAACCCTGCCATGGTTCCCGGCCATGTTATTCAGCCCTCCAGTTTCTTGGCAGTTGTATCTGGCGGTCCCTCCGGTGCTCGGAAGTTTCAGATTCGAGCGGGTCGGTCAGCATGGTGCAAAAGGAAGATGCCATGCCTCCCTCCCCTCCCAATCAGGAGTGCCTACAGTCCAGGTGTTCCCTAACACCACAATCTGGAAAAAAGCCAACCAACTGCGTCTCACAATAGGCGAATATCCCCAAGTGCTGTTGACCAGCGCTTCGCTCAAAGAGGATGAGAAAGGAAGCCAGACAGATGCTAACTATGCTGTGGCGCAGCATTATACCGCGTTCATTTTGGTGACGCGCTCATTTTCAACGAACATTCAGGCTCGAAAATGAAACACGGATATCGTTTTCCTTCGCTGAATGGCGTGCTTCCTCCCGAAATGGCATGAAGCCCGGCTAGCTCAATCGGCAGAGCGTGAGACTCTTACGAAAGAAATCTTAAGGTTGCGGGTCCGACCCCCGCGTTGGGCTCTTCATCGTCTATGCATGCGAAGTGTCTTCTACGAAGTAACTGTTTTGTCTTCAAAGCATATCCACCAACCGAGCGCGGAACCGCCAGTTGGGCCCCCTTCACACTTTTTCCGGAAGGATAAGGTGGGGAAGATCAGGAGCACACGGAGAGGACCGCATGGGCCATATGGCGATCGAGGACGACGAGGAGCACACTTTTGTCCGAAGAGGCCCACGAAAGGAGAAGGCGGGGAAGGGGAAGCTGGGGAAGATCAGGAGGTGCAGCCCGATGCGCCTAGGATTTCGGGCAAAGGATATCTTTAGACAGGCATGTCATAGGTCTTCCAGATCGCTGGACTTCCCCTTTCGTCCCCCTCACGCTCTGCCTCGTCCATGCGAACGAGTCACAATTACTTGTTTGTGAGGTTGGAATGGGGGAAGACTTGCTTTCGATTGGTCGCATTTTTTCTATCTCATACGTGCGTGGGTGGGGCGGAGGGTCCATATTCTCCTGGGGAATCAGCTTCGTCGAAGCCAGACAAAAAAACGGCACAACCCCGAACCTGAAAAGTACAGAGTTGAATCAAAATCCTATACACAAACAGGTCTTTATTTAACTAGTAACTAAGTAAGTTCAGGAGTGCTCGACATTCCGTTCTATGAGGAAAGCACGAGATTTACTCATTGCACCGAGCTTTGGGTAGCCATGGGGGGCGAATGAAGCGGGGTCAGAAGACTGTTGGACATACAGCGGATTCGCCTCCCTCCCCTGATCTGAAATCACCTAAACATTGATCCCAAATCAAACCAAACACTTACAATTGCCAGCACTGCCACTATTCGGGCCGCATTGACCTGCGTGATGGGGATGAAACGTGAGATGTGCGATGAGTGGACTTCGAGTTGATTCGGGAGCCGTGATAAGGGGGATATCATCAAGACATACCGGCGAGAGCGGGGACTGAGGTAAGAGAGAAGGTTCGTTGGCAAGGAAAATCCATATTGTAGGAGGGGGCATAAGCGAGTGGAATGGCATGGGTGTGAGTCTCACGAGTCGCAGATCGCGATAGATGCCTCCCTCCCCCTGCCCGTTGGAGTACTTACCGAAGGCGGCGATAGCAAGGATGAGGAGAGTGAACTTCATTTTTGAGTATGCTTGTGAGGAAACGAAAAGGGTGTGAGTGTGGGTGCGATGAAGGGGACCCCGTTTCTCAACGTGTCCCCTTTATATCGCGTGTTCAGCTAAAGTTTACTTGAAAGCCTCAAAGCAGGTGCCCGACGCAGGGGGGGGGGGGGGGGGGGGGGGGGGGGGGCGAACGTATTAGCTGACGAAGGGATGCGATTTTTTTGTGGGAACACAGTCATTTGGGTCAATTTTGGAATCTCTACCGTTGTTGGACCTCTTGTTGGCGGCGCGGTGAGTTAGGCGACGACGGGGGGAATTGGGGTTAATGGAGCGGCGGGTGCGTCAGATCGATTCGGCGTTGAATTTAGTAACGTTTACTGTATATCAAACCACCTTCTTAAACCTCCTCCTTCCCCTTCCACCAGTTTACTGATAACGTCAGCTGGCGATGGAATTTTTACATTAAGTAAGCTCCCTCCTCGAAACCCCTTACCCCTTCCCACTCCCCGCCCTTGTCCCTCTTCCACCCCGATCTAACCTCCCCCCTTCCCCCGCAGCCTCCCCCTCGGCGCCCTCGCTATCCCGATTGTCTACCTCTACCTCACGATCCCCTTCAAACCCGTCCCCTTCAAAGAACAAGTGAAGCGTGTGGATTACATCGGAACGCTGCTGCTCCTCGGGACCGTGATCCTCATTTTGCTGCCCACTTCGTGGGGAGGGACGACGTTTGCTTGGGGGTCGGCTACGGTTATCGGGTGCTTCTGCGGCGCGGCAGTCTCGTTGGCGTTGCTGGTTATCGTTGAGTATTTTTTTATTTTGGGGGGGGGGGGGGGGGGGGGGGGAATTTTTTTGTTTTTTGGGGGGGGGGGGGGGGGGGGGGAGAGGCGCGGGCAGATTTTTTTCGTTCTAAGATGTCGTTACTTACCTGTTGGTTCCGATAGTGGGAAGTTAAATACGCCGTAGAGCCGGTTATCACGCCTCGCCTCTTCAAGATTCGGAACGTTGTTGCGGTGAGCTTCTGCTTGGGGAGGAGAGTGTGGCCGCGAATTCGGGGCCGGTCGGGTTTCGGATCGAACTAATTCGCGCGCGCTTCGGCCGCCGTCGGCCGCCCTTTACTGAATGTATTTATTTTGGGTGGGATTAGGTCTTCGTTACAAACTTCTTCCAGGGAATGGTGAGTGGCCTTTTTCTCTTCTTCCGACACGGATCGGGGTATGAAGAACACCCCACCCACTCCTCTTAATTCACCCTTTCACCCCTACCCCCCTCGCAGTCCTTCTTCGTCTTCATCTTC